TACCTTTGATATATCGAAGAATCCTCTTCGCAGTCTTGAGGTGAGTAGTTGTTGGAGCTTCCATGTACCGACTCACGACTCCAACGGCATAGAGAATGTCTGGTCTTGTACAAGTTAAATAGCGCAAACTTCCAACAAGACTTTTATAGAGGGTTGGATCCACCTTTTCTCCCTCTTCATCCTTACTCAACTTGATGCCGCATTCCATAGGAGTGCCAACTGGATTAGCATCATCCAACTTGAACTTCTTGAGGAGGTCTTTAGCATAGCTTTCTTGAGTAATAAAAATTCCTTCGTTTCCTTGCTTTACTTCAATTCCGAGATAATATGCCATAAGCCCCATGTCGGTCATTTCAAACTCCTTGGTCATATCCTTCTTGAATTCCTCAAACATGCTTGGATTGTTCCCTGTAAAGATCAAGTCATCGACATACAAGCATACAATCAAAATATCTTTACCTTGAGCTTTGATATAGAGTGCATGCTCATATGGACACTTGATGAAATTCGCTTCTTTGAAGTACTTGTCAATTTGAACATTCCAAGCTCTCGGAGCTTGTTTCAGTCCATAAAGAGCTTTCTTTAATCTCAAGACTTTATCTTCTTCTCCTTTAACTTCATATCCTTGTGGTTGCTCAATGTAGACTTCTTCTTCAAGAACTCCATTTAAGAAGGCAGATTTGACATCCATTTGATGTATCTTCCAATTATTCTGAGCTGTTAATGATATAATAAGGTCTAACAGTTTCTAGTCGAGCAACAGGAGCAAATACCTCGTCATAGTCGATGCCAGATTACTGTATATGTATGTTGGGGTAGAGGGTGTCACAATATTTCACAATAAAACTAGCAAATATAATCATTCTCTCGAACTTAATACTTATCAATCCTATTTGTTACTTCTTTTCTACTCAAAGCTTCATCTTTTACCTTAATTATCTATGCTTCAATGTTAGCCAATAGTTCAAAAGGATCAACCAGACCTACACAAAAAATAGTAAGGTTCAATTATTCAATAATATTATACCATATTAAAGGTATATTCATAATTAATATTTAAGAGATATAATTTTTACAAAAAACAAGTTAATAACAATAAGGGTCAAATAAAAAAAAACACAAAGACATTTGAAATATGCACACACATATAAAATAGAACATAAGCCCCAAAGGATGTGAACAGAATAATGCTCTTGAGTTACACAAAATGTGGGTTGGCCATAAATACAGCTGAAAGCCTTGGGTCAAATAGTCTACTTTAAAGAGAGATCGACCAATAAAAGTATTGCAATAGTTTAGTCTTTGAATGGAAGGGAGATGGAAAATAGGGTCCATGCCTGATGAAAGGCGGAGGAAATCCTTACTTTTACCCACCACAAAAAGTAATAATAGACATTGTTCGACTAGCCAAAAAATAGTTGTCACCTGTACAAAATAGGGATTCATGAAAGGATCCTTTTTATGACAACATTGTACTTTAAAAGAGATTATTTATTTACAAAAGGAAACATTAGTGCAAACAAAAATGTCATTTGAAATATTGAAGATTTAATAATGATGTAAGAGAAGCCCATTTTAATAGCAATATAATAAGCAGACTAATGAATTCATTGGTTTGTCAAGAATTCTTGAGCAGTCAAACTTAGAGGCATAATCAATCAAAAAATTTAAAAGTTCAATTTGAAGAGCTGAAAATCAAGTCACTCAAATGATCATAGTTTCTTTATATAAAAAACAAATGAAAAAACAACACACAGGGGCAACAATAATCTTAAACGTGCCTATTTTTCTTTTCTTGCAACTCTTAGCAGCATCTAAACATTTCTCATCCCCTTTTGATGCGTTCGCATGAGTGTATCTCAAACAAATGCAGAAAGAGTCAACACTTGATTTATATTCCTGCAAAACATGATTTCTTTAAAGTGTTATCAAAAAAGAAATTGACAGAATGATAACCATGTTGACAAGTAGAGACCCAAGAAAGAAAAAATGACTGACCAAAAGATTTTCTAGAGGATACGAAGAAGAAGACGAATGAACCAGATCGTCTTCGTGGTAGTAAACAGAGAAGAGCAAACGATTACGTGATGGTAGACGTAGATAAGCGAATAGTGCTAGGGTTCATATTTTAGAGAAATCGAAAGTCTCTCGTGGTGTTAGGGTTTCTACAAGAAAGAACTGAACTAGTAATTTTATATATACCTTTTAATTCTTATGTCTCGGTCAGGTTTAGGTACCAACGGGTACAAATATTTTAACCCAAACCCAACCAAGAAAACCCATTCCAAACCGAAGCAACAAACTCGAAGCCTCAAAAATTCGAGATTGACCATCCAAAGTAAAAAAAAAAAAAAAAATGCATGCGATTACCTTCGATTTTGGTTGGACCAAAAAATTTTGATCACACCTAAAGAGCATATCTTATTATGAGGAATGAAAGGAATAAATCATAATCTTTAGATTGTAGATAAAAATAACTAATAGTTAATATTAAAACTCAATTAAAGGCACTCCTTTACAAGATCATTACCATTATCTCTTGCATAA